GAACAATCCTGAAGAAGATAAATATAAACGTTTCATCATGCAACATAATCATCAGGAGTAAACGTTTATAAATTATATATAAAGTAATACAAATTTAAATGTTAAATAGATGTGACAAGCAGATAATAACTGCGCGACTTTTGATCCAGTATGTACCTGTTGATTGCATTTAAAGAAAAAAGACATCGCGGTATTGAATATTCTGTATAGTTTCTTCGAATTGCTTTAATTATTTCACGGGCGGCATATTCTGGTGTTACAACGCCGAAGATATAAGGAAACCTGCAATTCATTCTGGATTAAAATTCATTTTTAATCTATTAATATTTTAATCTATGAATATAAAACAAGTATTTTTCATCATGCACTGTAATACGTAAAAAAGTATGTCATATAATATTATACGGACAAGAAAACTTATACCTTTATACTATTCTTATTATTAACTCATATTTAAAGTTTGATTTTGTATCTAATTAAATTTGATTTGAAAAATGTATAAGTTTCTTTTTACTACGAGAAAAGAGAGGCGTAATAAAATTTTCTAACAATAAGTAATACATCAAGATGTTTTAAATTCATATAACCTTAACCATTTCCTTTTCAATATAATGTTAAATATATAAAAACTAGAAATCGCGTCGGAGATAGTGAATCATAGATGCAGTAATTTTTTTCTAATCTCATTATTACTTCATGGATCAGACCGTTCCACTTACTGGGCGCTAATTACATTCCATGCAATTACGCTATGTTGCAGTGGATAAAGACGACTCGTTTCGTAAATACAATGTTCGCGTGCGAATTACCGCGACCAGGCCGGAAGATGTCTGCGCGGAAACGCTGTTTCATCATAGATATCGTCGATGTATACTTGTTAAAAAAATACTTGTTTAATTGATAGCATGATGAGTACAATCCCATGATGAGTGAGATATAATTACATTAAGTGTATATTAAATTTGTATGTTTTTTTTTTGCTATAATGTCTTACAAAACCTAGCGTCTATTATTAATTCAATCTAAGTGTTTTCTGCACCTGTATTTGGGATCTTTCGCTAACCCTGTATCAATATAAAACGGATATATCGTTGTAAAATGAATATTAGGTTTCTTTTCATCTAGTCGTACTTCCTCGTAAAGAGCATCCATAAGGCCTACGAATTAAACTTATTAAAATTCTATTACAAATAAATAAAATTTTGATAAATACCTCTCACAGCAAATTTTGATGAGCAATATGCCACCTTCTGCGACACTCCATAAATGCCACACATACTACTTATCGCTACTATGTGACCGCTTCCTTTCATTAACATCATAGGCAAAAATGCTTCTATTGTCTATTTAAAATTAAAAAATTATTAGCTTTATAAATTATTTTACACCTCGATAAAATTGTTCCTTAATTAATTTAAAAAAAAGACTTAATGAATTCCTGATTAAAAAATGCTAATAAAAATGTCACATAACTTAATTAAACTTGAAGAGTGTGAGTGCATTGTTATTATTAAGCGAAACTCATATAAAATAACTTTGAAATTATCCATATTTAAAATATCTAATAAATATTCAATAATTAAATTAATACAATTTATAGAATATAATTTAATAGCATAAGCGCATACCCAAAAATTCGAAAGTACGTTAACGTTAAATGTCTTTTCTACGTCGTCCGGATCAAAATTTAGATACGGCTTATGATATAATACAGCCGCATTGTTAATGAGCATTGTCACATCCGGCACACCGACTTTTCTCATTAATCTCACTGTCTCGCGTACTTCCAGTCTTTTCGAAACATCGACCACGAAACCGTAAACCTAAAAATAGTTATATGCATATCTTCTAATAACATTTGATTGTATCTCTTCCAAAAAATTGTATTAAAAATAAAAAACAAAATGCAATTTAAATGAAAATTAAATATATACTTACTTCTCCGCCATTTTTCGACACTTCTCTCATTGTCGATCGATTATTATCAATATCGTTATCCCAACAAACAATTATACAACCCATCGAAGATAATTGTATCGCTAATTCGCGGCCAAGTCCATGGCCGGCTCCAGTGATCTAATTTCAATGCAAATAAAATAATTTTAAAAAGATGTACGTATTATAAATTTTAAAGATTTAAAATCATTGCAACTTTTTCCTTCAATTTGATAAAAAGCAAAACAAGTTTACAAGAACGGTTTCTCCTATTAAACGTTTCATGGAACGCGGTACAATCATTCTGAAAGTTGCCATTATCATCGCCAGACTTATCTTTGCCGACAAGAGAGAAAGATCCAGAAATAGTCGATGCAATTTAATGTCTTTGAAAATACGTTCGAGAATCTTCATCTTGGAATAGAAGAATTATATATATATATCATAAAAACATCATATATACCTAAATATGTCAAATTTGTTAATAAATAAAAAGAGATAAAATTCATTAATCATCATTATAATCGTCTCATTAATTAAAATTTCACATTTAATTGCGCGTTAAAAAAAAAGGAATTTCTTCATAGTAATAAAATTACTTTAATCACAATGATTGTGACTTTTTGGAGAACATTTAAAAATGTGTTACGAATAAAATCTAAAAATATATTACGAATTTAAAAATTCCTAAATAAAAATAGTAAAAATGAATGGAAAAATCCGTTGTTAAATCTCACAAACCATGATTTTGTGACGTAAGTTTCAGTAGACCGTAATGTTCGCCGATCACTTTCCTTCCTACTGCGAAACAGCGTTGGTGGGGTGACCACCAGTTTATTTAAAAATCCTGAAAGTTGTTATGAATATACGTAATTTTAAGAACACTGTGTCAGCAGATTAATGACAGTTTCGTCACCATGACATCCATGATGGACATTCCACCATGATATCGATACATATGAGGACTTATAATATATATCGCAGATCGACTCGGAATTTATTCATATTAGTAAATTTATTACTCCTTTTTTCAAATTGTAAAAAAAAAAATAAAATCCAGAAAAATAAAAAGTGATTTATCCATCCTACTTTTTTTAAAGGGTTACATCACTTTGGACAAAAATGTTTATTTTCTACATAACATTTACTTAAAAAGCACGTAGGGGTTTTTAGAAATATGCGTTTTCGTGAAAATGATGAACATTTGAAAAAAAAAAAACAATCATTTATGACCCAAAAATTTTGCACAAAAATGTTGATAACAATAATAGTTTATAATTAATCGTAAAATCGCTGCGAACTTGTAGAATTCTACAATTTTCATTCGATTCACTTGAAACTTTCTGAGAATATTCTTTTGCTATTTCTTTTGCTAATTATCTAAAGAAGTACGCAGCGGATACTCAGATTCTGTGACTTTAGAGCTCCATATCTATCGACCCGTTAATTTTCTGTGGATATAACCAAGAAGAAATTAATTCAGAATTATCAAAATTACACGTATTTCAAAAAATTTTATATGTTGAGTCGTTTTTTATACAATCGTACGTATACCTTATTTCATCTCTTTTATAAAAACAATTTGATACTACTTCATAAAAATAGACTTTTCGTATTTATTAAGTCAAGAGGTTTACATTCACGAAAAAAAGAAACAGAATAATTATAAAGACACATTATCAACCCCAGTAAACGAGAATGGATTAAAATGAATTGAAATTTTTTCTATCCGAATGCGTATTTTAAATAGCGAATACTTTTTGGATGAATATTTTAATTGGATTCAATTGAATTCAATTAGATTCAACTGGATACAATTGGATTGAAAAACTGCATTTCCTATTCAAAATTTTGAATTGAACAGTATTCACAATGCACAGAAAAAGTTGATATTATTTTTAGATTGAAAGACATAGAAATATGCTCCATACAATTCCTATAAATGAATAAAAATGCATTCAGGATTGAAAAACATTCATTTTAACATTCATGAATCCATATTTTTGAAAATCTGAATCCATTTCAATCCATTTCAATCCATTCTCGTTTGCTAGGACGTGAATAATATGGTTTTCGTAATTCATTGCGTTATAAATACTAAAATTATGTGACTCTGGATCGAGAGAATGTGCGGCGTCCTCGCGACATACAAACTTCAGCCGACTTATTCCTAGTGAGATTGACTCTTCGTAGACTCTCACTCTTATGACTCGTTGGTGGCTGTAAAACAAGATTTAAAAAATCACATTTATATCAAAGCTAAGACAATAAAATAAAATTGACTATATTTTTTCTCATTGTACACTAAGAAAAAATATAGTGAAAAAATATATTGATAAAAAATATATTGATAGTGCACTAGTGCACCAATTAACAGTCATAAATGTCTCTTCTGGAAGAGGTTATGTCAATCAGTCATAAGACCGGGCGGGATAGTCGCGACGCGAGGGAGTCGCGCGACGGGACTCGCGGCTTCGAGAGGAACGGGCGAGATTGCTCACGTCTTACATTCTCGATTATGAGATTCGGTCTTTGCATCGGGTCATCGAATATCACACGCGATGTTCGGCGATCGGCAAAAATTTCGTCTAGCAGTATTGTAAATTTACAATATTGCTGGACGAAGCTCTTGCCGATCGCTTCGTACGACATGTTCATCGCCATTTACATACATGAAGTTATAGAAAGTTATCATATTCTACCTATAAGTTTGAGGTTACTTGTATAAAAACCGGATAGCAAATGTAAGGCATTCGATACCACAAATATCTAATATAACAGGCGGATTCAGACTTTCTATAACTTCATGTAATATAAGGTGTACACTGAAAAAAAGATTGGCTGCTGTAGCAAATTAGATGGTAAAATATGGCATAGCATTTTTAATTGG